TTGTAAAAAATAAAAATATATGTACTATAGTTAACATTTTTCAAAAGTTTAAGGGGTAATTTGTCAACCACTAGAAAGAATTCCATTAGTTAGTTAACAAAATGTTTGTCAACTAGATCATTCTAAAATAAAATTGATGGCTTATAAATCATTTTGAAAGAAAAAATGATTTCTAAACTAAACTAAAATAAATTACATAGTTAATAAATTATTTATTAAATTTAGGCCCCCACTCACCCACCCTCTTCTATTCTCCCCAAACCAAGCATACTTCAGGTAAGGAAAAAATCTCCCAGTTCGCATCCTTTTGAAATACACCACTATGAAAAGAGTCTTACATATGCTAGAAGAAACTGTTGAAGTTCCTCATCCTCTGATAATCCCTGCTCATCATTTTAATTTGGACCTTATTTGGTGCACACCCGGATCCAACACCCGGGTGTGCACCCCCATATAAAAAAAAAAAAATTGGACCGGGTGGTCATGGGCTTTTTTTTTTTCAAAGGGGAGTGTGCACACCCGGGTGTTGACCCGGGTGTGCACACATCATTTTCCTTTAAATTTAAATCCACCAAAGCCCCATGCCATGATCTGTTAATAAAGAACCGTCGTCAATACTGTTCTATTTCTAGCGAAATGAACTAGTTTTCTAAAGATAGCATATTTCCTATTCCAAAGCTTATGAAAACTTATAAGATAGTTAATTTTGCTCTAAAGGTATATGTTAATGGTATATTTACCGTATTGATTAAAAAAATAGTATATTATTGTTCCTCTTTTATTAATTAAAAAGTAAAAATAAAAATTAATTTTAATAATTGTGGAATTAAAATTAAAATATAGTTGAACGAGTCTAGGACTTTTTCTAATTCTTCTAAAGTTGAACGAGCTTACCATATAGTTGACTGCTTTTCGTTGCAAAAAGCCAAAAACAAGATCTATAAAACATGGATTCCTTCACATGGCTTCCACAACAACTCCTTTAACATTTATTCGAAGTCCTACGGAAGGTAAATCATCATGGAAAAGTCATTCTCATGTCCTTTGGGAGAAATAATTCTTAATCCAAACCAGCCAATGATCAAGAAGTATGGAGTATTTCTAGGAAAGGCATTAATATGGATTTAATTAATAGAGAGTGGAAAAACTAGTCTATGTATGAAAGAATGGGACCATTGACGTAATTCCATGCCTTGATTCTAGCATGGAAAAAACTCTTCTTAATTAAGAGGTAAGTATGTTGATTATGTTGCAATGCGCTTCTGTTTATGTGTTTTGGGTTTTGAGGAATGTTGTTTGTGTTATGGATTTGGTAGATCCATGCTCTTTTCCTGATGTGGGGTTTTGGCAATAATATGTGATTTGGTATGGTTGGCAGATTATTGAGTTCTAGTATAAAATGTAATTTCAGTGAACTGGTTGTTGTTTCATTATATATATTTGATTTTTTTGATTTAACGTAAGGAAATGGATTGTTGTTTCTCTTTTGAGATTTTTAAGATTGATATGCCTTTCATTAAAAAGAAAAAAAATTGCTTTTCATTTACAAAACATTCAGCAATTCTGCTTGTCCAAATATAATCTTGTTTCTTACAGTTAAAATAAATCTTACAGATTTTATGGGGCAGAAATTGTTTTATGAATTGTCAGTAATATAAGGCCTGGGTTAATTTGGTCTCTTCTACAGGAAAAACAGCAACTGTAGTCGGATGGGTGCTTGGTTTTCCTGTCCATTTGCTAAATGTAGTGATATTGAAACTGGCTTAGAGGCAGTCATTGTCAAATCCATTAATTTTGGAGATGATGAGGAGAAAACACCTGTACGATCTGTTAGTTTCAAGGGTCGAGATTCAGAGCCCACCATACTGAAATTCTTAGGTTTGGGAAGGATGATATTTGAAGGATCTATTAGCTTTAAAGGAAGGGAATTGGAGAGGATGCACTCAACAAAGTCTACTTCCTCAGATAAAGAAAACAATGTGCAATTTGAGGCAGTTAGCCCAAAGTGCATGGTAATTGATGCTCAATCCCCAAAATCAGATGGTTCAGAAGGGTCTATCCAACAATTGCCAGTTTTGGATCTAAGCAATCCAAAACATGAGGCAGCAATAAAATTGCAAAAAGTGTACAAGAGTTTTCGAACAAGGAGAAAGTTAGCAGATTGTGCGGTTCTCATTGAGCAGAGCTGGTATGTGTTATGTGTGCTAATCCTACCTCGTCTATGTATAAAGTTTGTTGTGTTTTTATCATATCTTGTGCAATTAATTGTTTGGAATGGCAGGTGGAAGCTCTTGGATTTTGCTGAACTCAAGCGAAGTTCTATATCATTCTTTGACATAGAGAAACATGAAACTGCTATTTCACGTTGGTCAAGAGCAAGAACCAGAGCTGCCGAGGTGGGAAAAGTGATGAGTTGAATTTATATATATATTAATGTTGAGTTTTTGCCTTGACATTGTTAATATTTGGAAGAATTTTATGAGATTTTACATGAGTTTCATTCTTTGTGCAGAAAAAGACTTGGATGCATAATAATAGGAGTTTTGGAATTAATTGAATATCTTATGGAAGTTGAGGGATTGAACTGCAAGAAGAAAGAGGCTTCTTTGGGACCTAAATGAATGAATCGTAAGTTTTGAGATCTCAATACTCATCATACAAAATCTGAAGGATCAGATCTGCAATTTTACCATTGAAAAAATTGCAAAAGGGCTAAAACCCGACACGGATGTGGTATCGACACATAATCGGGGTGTCGACACCATGCGTTACGCGTCCAGAATCACAGTCTCTGTTTCTTGTTTTGTGTCGACATGTAATTTGAGGTGTCGACACTAAGCGTGCAGCGTCCAAACTCCCAATTTTCTATTTTGTTCCGAGTCCTACTTCTCTTCTAATAGGGTTTCTTAAACTCTATAAATAACCATTCAAAAAATCAGTTTGAGAGCTTTTGGAGAGGAGACTAAGAGAGACAGCTATAAGGAATTCAACAACAAAAGAAGATCAAGGCCTGAGATTTCATATCGTCAAACTGATTTTGCTAGTTCTTGAATTTTATTTTATGATGTTAGAAACTCGTATATTCATCATAAGATTGTTGATTCTCTTTTCTTTAATTATGAATTGATTTGCCATCTAAGGTTACAATGTAGCCCGATTAATTTAATATAGAGTTTTATAATTTTTATACTTTCAAGGTTTATTATTTTATATAGAGTATATATTATTGTTCTTAATGTTTTTTAATGATTGGCCACCATTAAAACTGATTTGGAGAGCATAATTGAGACCGAGAGGAGATTTTATGCAATAGCTTCTAGTAATATATACCATGAATTGAACGAAAGCCAGAGATGGACCAACGTGATTTGTGCAGCATTAGTTATAAGTAGACTTAATTTTCCATGTAAACTAGGGAATTTCACAGAATATAATGTATCTTTATCTATTTAAATTCACATAAAGATATAGTGGGTTAATAGGTGAAGATAAGTTTGGTATAACTTGAGAAAGTATATCAGATAGGATGGGAAATCCGGCTGTCACATAAATAATAAATACTTTGGAAGTATATTAATCTAAATTCTATATTAATTGATTATGGTGAAATCGGATGACTTAGAATTTTAATTCTTGGTGTTACTTAAAGTCAATTTAGTTTTTTGTTAATTAGTTTAGTTATTTAGTTTAGTCAAATTATTTAATTTCAATTGTTCAAATAAAATTAGAATTAGCTAATTTTGGTACTTAATTAGGTTACAGTATTTGTAGGACAATACTCTATTTTCATCATTATATTACTTGAATTGATTAATACACTTGTTAGAGTGGAATTAGCTCATCAAGTTTTTGGCGTCGTTGCCAGGGACTGTATTGATTCTAATTAATATCAAGCAGATTAATTCTACTTTTAATTTGGATTTTTTTTTATTATTTAGCAGGTGTGCAAGTTAGTGCATGACTCATTCTGAAAATACAGAACTTGCACCTTTTGATCCTGAGATTGAGCGCACTTTTCATCAATTGAAAAACCAGAGGACAGCACTCGTTGTTAAGCCAATTGACATCATGGCTAAAGATCCAGTAGCAAATCAAGCCATTCGAACATTGAAGGAATATGCTTCACCTTCAATTGAAGGAATATGCTTCACCTTCAATTGAAGGAACTGTTTCAAGCATAAGGAGACCAGCTATCCAAGCAAATAATTTTGAAATTAAGCCAGCAACAATTCAGATGATTCAACAATCTGTGCAATTTTGTGGATTGCCAAGTGATGATCCTAATGCTCATATTGCTAATTTTTTAGAGATTTGTGACACTTTTAAATATAATAGAGTTTCTAATGATGTTGTTAGACTAAGGCTTTTTCCATTCTCTCTGTGAGACAAGGCAAAGAATTGGTTAAATTCTTTACCTGTTAGGTCGATCACCACATGAGATATGATGGCTCAAAAATTTTTAAGTAAGCTTTTCCCTCCTACTAAAATTGCTAAGATGCGTAACGATATTGCCACTTTTGTGTAGCTGGATATGGAGTCATTATATGAGGCATGGGAGAGATACAAAGAGCTACTCAGGAAGTGTCCACATCATGGTCTACCTATATGGTTACAGGTACACACTTTTTATAATGGTTTATTTCCTAATAATCGTACTATGATTGATGCAGCTGTCGAAGGATTATTAATGAATAAAATTGCTAATGAGGGTTATAACCTCATAGAGGAGATGGCTTCAAATAGTTATCAATGGGGTTCGGAAAGATCACACATTAGGAAAAATGTTGGAATTCATGGGGTTGATGCCTTTATTGCTTTGACAGCACAAATTGAGGCTTTAAAACAAAAGTTAAGTAGGATGAATGTCTTAACTATACAAGCCACAAGTATTAATTGTGACTTGTGTGGGGAGCACATCCTAGTTCTGAATGTCTAAAAGGTAATTCTTTTATTTCTTCATCTGAAAATGCTAATTTTGTTGGTTTTAATAAGCAGCAAAATAATCCATACTCCAACACTTACAATCCTAGTTGGAAAAATCATCCAAATTTTTCATGGAGCAACAATCATAATGTAGTAAAGCAACCTCCAAGATTTCAACAACCACCTGAAAAAAAAATCAGATTTTGAGGACTTGCTAAAAAGGTTCATTGCTGTTAGTGAATCAAGGTTTCAAAATCAAGAGGCAGCAACCAAGAGCTTAGAAGCAGCAGTAGAGAACCAAGTTGCATCAATTCAAAATTTAGAAGTTCAGTTGGGTCAATTGGCAAATGTAATTTCTGGAAGAAGTCAAGGTGCTTTACCTAGCAACACAGAGATAAATCCCAAAGAACATGTAAAAGCTATAAATTTGAGGAGTGGGAAACAAATTGGTGAGGAAGAACACAAAGAGAAAAAATCAGAAGAGGAAGAGAAAGAAAATGAAATTCAAGAGCCACCCAAACCCAAAGAAGTCAAGCCTTATGTGCCTTCAATTCCTTTTCCTCAAAGACTGAAGCAGCATAAACTAGATAAGCAATTTGCTAAATTTCTTGAAGTTTTTAAGAAGTTACATATTAACATTCCTTTTGCAGATGCTTTGATGTCTCGCCTCAAAATTAATACCCTTTGGCTAAGCGGTTGTTGTAGCGTAGCTTTAGGTGTCGAATCCACAGGGAAGCTATATTAAATCAACAAAAAGATTTGTCACAATGAGAAATTAAATTAAAAGATGAATTTTAAAATTAAGAATAAAAATATTTAAATAAAAGATGATAATTGTAAAAGATTAAAAACAATATTATGATGAACAAGACTTCAGGGTTCACTTAAT